CCACACACCACACGTTGAGCTAGTCATCCTGGGCTATGATTGGTCAGCGAACGATGCGCCTTCGACCAATGATAGTGAGGGTAGAGGTTCTTGGCCAAGGAGTAATATTTTTAAAATTTGTCGCTCGCAGTTTTGTAAGAAACTCAGGAAAATCGTTAGGTTTTACTTTCGGGGTTCTGTAATTAAAGGAGGCGAGACGGAGCAAAAGAGGTAATAATTTCAAAGTTACGACATGTTAGTTGCGGTAGAAGTCCGTTCAGAACAACAAGTGTCTCTTGGCTTCAACCTAACCTTTCCCACCCGTTTTTGGTACATTTCCTTCTCACGGTAATATAATAAAAGCCGACGAAGTTTGAGTGTTTATATCACGTTTGAAAGGTTTTTAGTCTTTGTTTTACCACCTCAGACTAATCACTTTTATCGTTTTATCCTTGTTTTGTCACAAAACTGTTCTTATTTTTGCAGAGAATAAAGTTTCTGGCAAGAGGGCCACAAAATATGAAACAGAAGATTGGCTTACCTTATGGTGACATAAAAGACATCATGAATCTGTTATCATCTGTCAAGGAAAACATTCCACCTTGCCATATTGCGAGCTCAGTGAGTTGTTCTTTATATCATAGTTGATATGAGACCGTTTTCAAACATTTGACCCGGGGTGTTAATGTTAATATGCTTAGTTTAGTACATCCTTTGGCATGCTTTGACAGATCTTAAGAATGGTTTCCTTCAGTTCGATCTGTTAAGTCACAAATTCAAGTGTGCTGGCTTCTCACCTGGGAGCGATAATGCACAACTGGCAACAGCCTGCCCTTTTGGCGGCCCTGACTGTTGGCTCATTAAATATTATTTATGTTGCCTTTTTTTTGTTTGTCATGCAGATTGCAAGTTCTTCCACTTCAAAACCTGACACGAGGGGTCTCCGACTCGCATAATACTCAGTACACGTCGCCATAATACCCTTATAATACTCCATAATACTCATAATACTCATAATACCCATAATACCCATAATACCTCATAATAGAACATAATACCCTTATAATACCCTTATAATACTCCACAATACCCTGATAATACCCTAATAATACCTTTATAATACCCCATAATACCCATAATACCTAGAATACATCATAATATATCATACCTCATAATACTCCATTCTCCACAGTGCTTTGATAGTAAAATCCATCTAGATAAATATAAACAACCATGTAGCGCGTTGCGCGTTGTACCACCTAGAGTCCTGGTTCTGACCTGGGCAGATACTTCTGCTTGTTCACCATGCTGCGCACTGCAGAACACCAGCGAGTATAGCGCGTGGCGGTGCTGTTCGTCGCCGCTAACACCAACCTCGCCGAAGCCGTGGCCTCC